CACCCTGCCGGGTAGCAAAAAAGAAAGTTTTGGTAAAAAATCAGTATGCACTACTTTTCGTCCAGCTGTTTGCAAGCAAGTACAACTGCATGAGACATATTGCTGAAAATCACTTTGACGACATGACAGAGTGATTCTGTTCTCTCCCGTTGCCCACTCCTTGCTCTTCAATGGCACCTTTCACTTGCAGACGTGGTTAGCGGATACGGAAGGGGTGAACGACAATGCAAGAACCCAAATTTTGCATGTGGCTATAGTGTGGATATAGTGTGTTCATTAGGTACAGAAATTATTGCTGCTGTAGGGAAAATGTGAAGTTTAATATATTGCCTTCAAGTTCTCAAATTGGCAAAATTGTACTCCAGTGAAATTTGAATAATAAAAAACCCCATCTTCGATTTTTCTTAAAATCTTGTAAATAGATAACCGAGGGCCATCATACAGTAATATAAAAAAACATGTTGCATTATTTTGTTTTTAACGACAATATTCGTGGTACAAATCAGAGCTTTTCAAGAATGCGCTGATAAGTTGAGAAATCTAGTAACCGGAACGGCAAAGCGGCAATGAACTTCAAACGCGAGTAAACGTGACCGCATTTGGTGAAGAAAGGCTGTTTTAACACTGTGACAAATACGCACCCATGAAGGCACATTTATGCTCCTGATAACACAGCTCTAATGGAGGAAATCTTCGACACTGTAACTCAGTTGGAAAACATCTGTCTATATTTGTAGATAAACTCAAACATAAAAATGTTCCAACGCAAGTGTTGGGTCTCGCTAGAAAAAGCATATGCGCTTGAAGTATACCCTCACTGGTATTTTGGTGACTGCGAGAAATAAGAGAAATGCTCAAAATGGCTGCATCTTTTGCAGATCACATTTAGCAGTACGTGACGCTAACAAAACACGACCATGATCAGTTCCCTCAGATGTGCTTAGCCAAACATGCAAAGAACGTATGCCTGGAACACATGGCAACAATTTCCACTGGCTCTTCTTAAACTGACGGAATGTTTCTAGCTCATCTGCATTTGTACACAGCAGCTTGACATTCTTGAGCTTCGCGCTCATTCGCGCCATCATTTGGGACGCTGACATAATCACAGCTGAGCTTGCCGCTCTGAGGTTGTAGAGCGTAGCCTGATGCTTTAGTAGGCCACCAACGCCATCACACGAGTTCCTGCCATGTCCTACGGCCGAAAAAATCTACTTTGTTGATATATGATCTTTCTGACATAACTCGAACAACTGGTACTTCTTTTTGAAGTGACTGCATGCACCATCAGAAACATCAGTAACATGCGTGTAATGCTTAAGTTGTTCCTTCATATAGTTGTGGATTATTTTTAGAGCGAAACAGGCATGTGCAGCATCATGGCATGTGTCATCACTGATGACGGCAAAACTTTGAATTGATTGCTTCCTTCTGACGACACACGTGAATATAGACACCTGTCTTTTGTGCCAGTGATACGACAGTACCTCATCGGTAATATGGCTGTTCAATTTTCGGCAAAATCAAAGTGAAAAATCCAAGAATATTTTTCTTGGTTCTCTTTCGCCTGGCATATTGCTGATTCTTGAATGTATCTTATGTAATCATGGGTAATCCACTTCACGGACCATAGACTTAGCTCTCACAGAAAAGCACTTGCCTGGGCTGTTTTTTTACTAGATCACCATTTTTCCATACTGTATCTACCTCAATATCTTCAGTGATTCCTAAACATGTGGCTGTCAGAGCGTCCTCCTTAGCACAATAGTCACAATGGCCTAAAAACAATCACTTGTAGGGGAGCTGCAAAGACATAGTTCTTTCAAGAAGTCCGCCATGTAGGCACTATCGGTGACATCTTGTAGGGCAGAAATACACTCCGTGGCATTAGCACAGCATATACAAAGGCACACTTCTTGGTGTGGCACAAGAAGAACCCACTTCGAACTATTTGAATAAAACTTTGAGAGCCCAATAGACGTGTTCAGATTAGCTTCTCTAAAGAGACGGTAAGCCTCTCGCACCGAACGGGTCATAAACCTTTTCGAAACAAGCTCCTTTTTTTCCGTCAAGGATAACAGATACTACATCTTTTTTGTTAGGACTCTGCCGAGAGCAGCTATACTCACCTTTGGAGTAGTAAGCCATAGCTGCCTGGACGTCCATTGGGTTCAGCCGTGTCCTTTTTACCGCATTTGGTGCTAACCATATCCCGTGTTTTGCGCGCCAGCGTCGGGATCTGTATATCATGTAAGCTGACAAGTTTGGTATAAGCGCTTGGAGTTTTCGGTGCTCTAAGTCGCTCGGCAACAGTGTCAACAAACGCATGCGCTCTTGATACGAAGAACACGCCTCATAGGCTTGCTTGAAGTTCTTGAACCACTGGGCACACACACTGCATTTTAGATCTGATGGTTGAAAGTGGTGGTTACACACATTACGGCGGCATTTCGCGGTTACTTAAGAATTGCTGCTAAGTTGTCTTGGCTCTGCATGAACTTTGCCATTTTGCGCATGCAGCTTCTCCAGTCGCATATGTGACAATGCTTCACGCGTGTTTACGCACCGCTCTTATCTTGCTTTTTTCTTCTTCCAACAAAAACTCATCAGCTGTTTCCGCTGAGAAGCCATTAGACGAAGACAGCATACCTCTGAGGCGTCTGAAGCAGTTCTGGCAGACGTGGTCGTTGTTATGTGCATGATGGACAGCTTTCGGCAGAAGCTTCTGGAGGGCAAACAGGCCGATGTCTTCGACCTTGCAGAAGTTTCTTTGATAAGGTATTTTCTTTTAATGCAACATGAGATAATCTGAACAAAAAACTCTATCCCGGATGAAGTGGTCAGCCATCGCTACGCTCCTTGAGGCTCAAATTACTGGCAATGCAACTATGGGTGAGACCATCAGCACGAAAGTGATCTATCTGTCATCTGTTCCTATTTCTTTCACCTTTAATGAGAGCAGATGTAAAACAGCGTGCGCAAGTATTCACAGTGCGAATGTAAAACTGAAGTATAGCACGTTAAAATGAATTTCACAATGTTTTTCTCGATAAAATTACGGGAGGCGTAATCTTTGTCCCTACTTTGAACCATAGGATCTAAAGCATTGCCTCCGAGATGCGGCGTACAGCAATTCATCTGTAGAGCAGACGACGGATGACAACTTGCCCTAAAGCGTGTTCTTCAGTCTAATGCGGCAGTCTTCGTGCCCTAAATGATAAAAATTTGTTATGAATCGTTTATGAACACATTCAACATTCAATTCTCTTACCCAACGTGTTGCAAACACAAGGCCGTCACAGCAGCTCCATCTGTGTGTCAGTAATGGAGAGGCACCACATATTAGAAGTCTGAGTGCTCTCTGTATAAGACTGAATTCAGATACTGTAAAATATCGTGTTACAAATACTTACTCCTATCTGCTAAAACAACCTTTCTTCACCAAATGTGGTCCCGTTTACTCGCGTTTGAAGCTCATTGCCGCTTTTCCGTTCCAATTTCTAGATTTCTCAACTTATCAGCGCATTCTCGAAAAGCTCTGATTTGTACCACAAATATTGTCGCTAAAAACAAAATAATGCAACATGTTTTTCTATATACCTGTATGATGGCCTTCGGTTGTCTATTTGCGAGATTTTAGGAAAAATCGAAGATGAGGTTTTTTATTATTCAAATTTCAGTGGAGTACACTTTTGCCAATATGAGAACTTTGAGGCAATATATAAAAAATTACATTTGCTCTACGGCAACAATAATTTATGTACCTAATGAACACACTATATCCTTAAAACGTGTCAAGTTAGAAAACGCTGCTTGCATTACTTTCGGAGAAAAAAAATGGGGAATACGTAACTTATTTCAAACTGTCGCAAAATTAGACATTTTTAAAAGCCATTTTTTTAAGGCCTACAAACTTGAAGCTGCATGAATTCATACTTCATTGGACATGCATTTCCGGTAAAAAATATCTTCCTTGAAACAAAAATATTTGTCTTTTTATAGCATCTGCAATTTTCGAAAATGACAGGTGACGAAATTGGTGGCTCCGTGTTGGTGAAGTTTGATTTTTTTTTCGCGTAAGTTATGCCGTTAATCATAAAACGAAGTTGACTTTCGGGCTACCTGGTGAGAGGTGCACGAAATATAGAATACTCAAGGAAATCCAAAATATCAACTTTTGGACCCGTGTCGATCTCTCGTGGTTCCCCACGAGCAGATGAGCCGAATCGATGTATACAATTTGTCATATATTTTTTCAGCTGTGTGTTCCTCAATCTTGCGCTGTTTGCAACAGCGCTGAACAATAAAGCTTGTGCTCACTACCGCTGCCCGCACTGCATTTCTTATTATGATGCTTTAGCTTTATGACCATCATATTTTTAATTATGAGCCTTAATTACACTGTAAAACCGGGCCGTCCTTTTGACAACCATCTCTTCATCTATTTTGACGAGTCGTCGGCGTCACACGGAGTGGCTATGAAAAGAGAAAAGAAGAGAAAAGCGAGCCCCGTTATTGTCTGCTTCAAAGAGCGACACCGCCACAGTAGCTCACGAGGGATGGGGGTGAGGAGGGATAAAAAGGATAGGAGTAAAGATGTGGGAAAGCCGAAGAAGGAGAAGAGAAGAAGAGACGTGTGGTAAGCCACAGCGAGCGAGGACAAATCGAGGGGATAGAAGAGATAGGAAAGATGGAGCACGGTCACTGGAGTCCGAGGACGGGGCGCACCTGCGAGAGCTCCTTTCGGCGTCGGTGGATGGCGTAGAACAAGTCCAGTAAATCAGAGCTGCACTGTCGTCGGAGGTGGAAGGTCGTCGGCGGCAGGAGATGACGTAGGGCGAGTCCAGTCGGCCAGAGCCACGCTGACGCGGGAGATCGCAAGCGCGCGGAGCGCGCGAGCGCACGACCGGTCAGCTCGAAATCCAGCAAGCGACCCGTCACACGGAAAAGACGGGGGCTCCGTCGTTATTTAGCGAGCGGAGAGAAGCAGGGATGAGGGACAGAAAAAGAGAAAAGCTTCAAGTGCGCTTCCGTTAACTACCACACGTCATCTGACACGTCGCTATCTCTCGCGATGCTTTGATGTTACCCCTCGCTGAAACAGGGGAAAGGAGGCCGCCGCTGCTCTGCCAGAGAGAGAGAAACAGCCGAGGGAGCTGGTGCATGCATTGCCAACTTGTTTCTTCGTGTTCCTTCGACCTTTGTGCGGTTTTTTTTTTTTCGCGTCGGGAAGGAGCCTGCAGCTTGGTGCGCCATTTTGTGTTATTTTTTGCGTGGTGAACTGGAAAGACCGAGGGCCCGTGTAACGCGCGTTCTGTTGGAAGCTCCAGCCTAAACTCAGGTGCAAGGTGAGTGTGCTTATATACTTCTTTCGCCTGTTTACATCCTTCGGCTGCCCATGGTTTTAACACGGCACCTAGTTTGCGAGTAGCGAAAAAGCAAGCGCTAGTTTTCGCGGGTTGTGGAGTACATACTTGCAGCATGCGTTCGAGTGACGTGCATGCACCGTTGGAGTTGGCTCGACACCGCCGCCTTGGTGGGTGCTTTCGCGCCGAGGCTGAACCACGTGCGGCGATTTTCAGGCGTCAGCTTGTGTTTAATGATAAAAAAGTCCTCTTCCAGTGAAGAAAAATTGAAAACGCTAGCGTACGAGGAGCATTAGCGCGTGTTTATTGCACTCATCGCGCACTTTCGATCGCGATTGAAAGTGGTTAATTGTTCAAGGACCAGACACGATTGGTCGAGCGCATTATCATCTTACGTACTGCTGAATACATTGAGAGTACCTGCACGAAGATCGTCCGTAAGTACTTTTTGTTTTTCGTTTTCATCTGTTCGTTATAATACCTGCGCTATAAGCCCGTGATGATCATCACTTTTCTGAGCAACTAAATAATGTAGAAGATACAGCCACGAATTCGTAAAATTATACGTCAACCAGAAATAGTTTTTTTTTTTTTTTGTCCAGTACTGTGGCTCAAAGCTGCATCTTTTCCGAAATTTTTTACTGTGGTTCTCTATTGCTAGCCGGCATAGAAGGCAGACGTTAGTATCTGATTGCGATCGGGCAATTTTACCCCTATATGCGAATCGCAATCGAAAGTGACCTTTTCTTTTAAATGAACACGGAAGCGTAGATACGTCGCGGAAAAAAGACCAAAATGGGAAAACCAGAGTGTATTTTGAGAAACATTAAACTAACAGCAATCTTGCGTGTGGGCTGACTGAATTATTTAAAGAAACGTTACTGCCCATGAAACCAGCAGATACCATTCCGTAAACATTGACGAACCGGAGTTAAGTGCAGCGTTATCGGCATGTGCAAGCATTTAAAACACCATACGTTTAGGAAGACCCTAGGAGATGTGTCGAGTTCTTGCAAGTTTGTATGCAAGTTACTGCATGCAACTGTCTAATAGACATCATTGACCAACTGCTAATAGCTTCAATCGTCTTTGGTTCAAAGGCCTGGTCTGAAGGGTCAACAGACACCTTCTGGCGTAGAAAGGTAAACTTCAAGCATCTTTGGTCATGGATGCCACTGCAACTTTCACACTGCCGAGCGAAGTATGTACTCAATAACTCACATTTTTTTTATTTAGTGTACTTGTTTTACCACTTCTGATTACACATGCATTTCATTTGTAAAGACAGACGAGATCCTCAATTATGTCTTCGAAACTAATACCTCAAATGTGAAGCCCAGGCCAACTCTCCCCATGCACCCAAACCACAATTGCTTGGCCTCATTGTGAAAAAGGGGGCTTTTATGGAAGTGGAAATGTCACCTTCTTTCTATCTTTTAATTTGTCATGTATTTCCTCCCCTTCAACAGTGTGTAGGCTTGTAATATGAACTGAATTATCAGCTGCTTATGTTAAACAATGCAAGGCGACCCTTGGAAGTTTAGTTAAGATGTGTGATTTAGATATGTATATCGGGTTATTACAATTTTTCTCCCGAGTCTAACCAATTTTTTGCTTCTGAACTCCCAGCATGCAGGTGAAGAGAGCCTGGAGAGAACGTCAACAACACCTCATCTTGCTGTCATCGGTGAGTATGTCATATAGGAATTTTTTGCTCAATACATGACTTGTGTAGCTCAGCTGGTTGGTTACTCAAGCCAAAAGTTCTTGGAAAGAAAGAGATTTGCTTCCTGCTATCGACAATGCATTGAGAGTCTGCTGGCACTTTACAAAGAAAATACTACATTGGTGGTTTATTAATTGTTTTAATTGACAAAAGGACGTTGAATGACACTAATTAGTAATTACTCTTATCTAAAATTGACAATTTGCTGTGATTTTGACTGTCAAAAGTTGTCAATCGGACAGCTCAGTTCAGCAGTGCATGAAGTTCACTAAAAAAAACGTCAATATGGTGAAAGAATATCTCCGTTTAAAAATGACGACCTTTAGTCATTTTGAAGTAAATTTTATCAATTTGACGGTTTGTTTGTAATTTGAAATGGCGGGAAACGCATCAAGATGATAAAATTACCCCTTATTTTAAAATAACGGCCTATCAATATTTTGATGTTAATGTTATCAATTTGACGGTTCGCTTGTATTTTGAAATGGCGGGAAACGCATCAAAATGGTCAAGTTGTGCCATCTTTTTTAAATGATGGCCTCTCGTCATTTTGATGGCCATAAGCTTGGAAATAGAGCTGGCGGTATACTCACCGTTATTTTGACAAATTTTTAGACAGTGTACATTACGAGTATTTAAGTAGGCCTTTTTGAGAGTGTGATTAGTGTGCATGTTTGCCTGTGGTGCACTTTCGTCACTGGATAACTCTTCGGAAAGCCTTAGACATTAGGGCATAATAAAGATATATATAAATATATTGTACGCTCGCATACAAGCCGAGTTAGGTGTAGAAACCAAATATTCTGTCGCATACGTGCGCGTGTGTGCGTGTGTGTGTGTGTGTGTTTAGACGTAAGCAGAACTAGCGAAGGTTGAATAAAAATGTTATTCTTTGGCTTGTGTATATATTGGCACACGTACAAAGAGTCACGCTGTAATACGCTTGAACGTGGCCTATGAGACCTTGAAACGGTGTCTGGTTATTTCCATTAAAACTAACCTCTCCCTATTGAAAATTATTGTAGTGATCGACTCTGATGAGATCCTTTCCGGTGGGTACAAGTATTACCACCACTTGAGCATCAATCCTGTCGCCGAGCCAACTTGAAACATTCGCGGCCGAGATTCCTGCCCAAAATCTCACAGAATGCAACATCATGTTTTTTTTTTTTTGTTTGCAGGCATTATTTACAAGCACCAAGCAATGGTATTGTGATAGTAGCAGCACTTCGTCTCTAAATCATAACAGCGCGAAGCGACGAAAAAAATAAGTTGAGCAAGTGGCAGAGGGGAATGGGTCGGACAAAAATTGTTGGAAAAAAACATCAACCCCCCCACCCCACCCCCCTTGGCTACTCCACTGTCAGGCAGTATATCCGGCTGAAGAGGAAGGTCTAAGCAAAGAGTACCAGCTGAACAGTCTATCAGAGCAGAATTGGTCGACAGGAAATCCATCCCTAAGATGAGGTCATGAGAATTGTTATTCTCAGAAGCACCGTGAATAGGACAGGAACGTAGCGGTCGGCGATGCTTATGCGAGCGTACACATTCCCAGGACAGTAACAGTTTCGCCATCGGTGACACGTGCAGCTTCTGTAGCAGGAGGCGTCAGTACTTCTCTTAAGCGGCGACAAAGATGGACACTGATTATGGACACGTGAGTGCCAGTATCGACTAGTGCCGTCATAGAAATACCGCTCACGTGCACATCGGTATGGTTCTTGTTCGCAGGAAGCGTCAATGGATGGTTTGGTTCAGACTGAGATGAGGCATCACTACCTCCAGGAGCTTCATAATCTAGTTTTCCGTCGGGTACGATGGAAAGTTGAGAGGCGAAGGATGGCGGTGAGGCTGGGGCGACGGCGAACGACGGCGTTGAGGGGACGGAGAACGAGTAGGAAGGCGGCTGTTAAGTTTGTCGGAAGCAGGATTCGTATGGCTGGGCGAATACCGGCGAAGATCTATGGGCGATAAGCTGCGAAAGACAGGTTCCTATGTGGCAGCTTCCAGGCAGCACGGCAGTAGCGGGAGACATGTCCAACGTGGTTGCACTGGAAGCAGATTGGTCTGTCGTCGGAAGTCCGCCATTCCGTAGGGTTGCGAGATCGTGGAGGGACGAATCGGTCATGTCGAGACGCATTCATGGGCATTGGTCTGAAGGAGCGGCGAGAGACGGGGCACGCGACACGGAACCCAAGGTTGGCGAATTCTTGTCGTACAACCACCTGAATAACAGAGACTGCGGAGGTTGTTGGTACCGTAGCATGTTCGAAAGGAGAGGACTGAAGTGACGCTGGACTTGCTGCTTCAAGTTGCCGTCAAATGATATGCGTGACACTCTGCTCGAAAGGCGGTGTGGCGGCGGAATCGGAGCAGGTGCATGCAGCCGTGTTTGGCACACGAGAAAAAGGAAGGCGCACCCAACGACTCTTTTCTGTTTCAAAACAGCGGCATTCCCGGGTGATGTCGTCGGTAGTGGAGACGTTGGTGTAGACCAGCAAATTGAAATCGTCGTCCGCGATTCTCTTTAAAACGTGGCCAACCTTGTCCGCTTCAGGCATCGCCTCGTCCACATTCCGGCAAATTTAGAGCGAGCACTTATTGTATGTAGGACGCATACGATTCAGTTGGCGACTGGACACGGGTAGCCAGCTTCTGTCGTGCAGCTGCGTGGCGACTGGTCGCGTCCCCAAAGTTGTGACGTAACTTGTCCTTGAACGTGTCTCAGCTGGTGAGTTCGGACTCATTTTTTTTCGTATCAGACACGCGGGGTTCCGTCCAAGTAGAAGAGAGCATTAGCGAGAATTGTGGTTGTGTCCCAGCGGTGAGTTTGACTGACTCGTTCATACAGGCAAAGCCAGTAGTCGACATCGAGGTCAGGTTGCGCAGAGAATCTCCCGGGATGACGGGGTGTGGGGACCACGACAAAGGTTGTCGGAGAAGTAGCAGACGGAGAAGGCGACGGGTTGTGACAGGAAGCCATGGCGGGAAGTCGGAGGATGCGGCCACTGCGGAGCTGCAAGGAGAGGACGGGGAATGTTCCACCTTCACAAAATATGTTATGTAAGTAACGTGTCGATCTATTGCAACTTTGCTTAGAAGATATGTTTGCAAAAACAGGTCCCAATCCACTAGGCCGTAGCCGTGACCTAGTGGATTGCCTCTGCTACGGGAGGTGGCTGGTTCGAAGCCCACCGCCGGCACCCACTGGTTTAAGAAGCATGGGTACAGGCATCCCCCTTATCCGACGCCCGGTTGTCACAGGGGTCTTAATGCCTGGGAGTGTTGCGTGAAGTCGCACCTTGCAATGCGTTGGTTCGAACTGTTCGAAAAGGGCCCCGGTATAAGTGTTAGTGGTTGTCCTTGTGGCGGTCCTATATGTGTTACCCTGCGCGTGCCTAATGTAGCACACAGTGCTACATAAATACGAAATACAAAAAGCGGTTGCAGCGCTGATGATGATGATGATGATGAGCAATTTCGCTTTGCTGGCACTCGCCCACAAAGGGGGATCAGCCAAGAATCGGGCAGCAGGATCATAACATGAGTTAGTTATGCTTCAAAAATCATTAAATCATTAAATAAAATTTTATTAAATAGAAAATCATTAAATACAAAATCATTTTCATTAAATGGTATTTCATTGAATAAAATTTCATTAAATAGAAAATCATCAAATAAAAATTCACTATAAAGCAAAAACAGACTGTAAAAATGTATGAAAATGCTACACGAGCTAGCAGTCAGGCATTCAGGTAGTCTCGGAGCCGAAAATACTAACAATAGACTAACGAAGTGATCTGTTGTTTCCTTTGTACACACACACAGCAGAGCAAACCTCCATGTGGCTATAAGCAAATGTAATCCCTCCGAACGATAAAATTACTGCCACGTTTATTTTTAAACCTAGCTTCTCAATTGGTTTGACCAGGTATCTTTTCCTTTGATAAGAATATCGGTGACGGAATAAAAAAAATGATATATTGATTCTAATTACTTGCAAAAGAGACATAGCGGAGATTCTCTGAGTCCAGTTTTATGTAGGTTAATTCAAGTGCGGAATTCGGCACCGTAATCTGTTAATTCTAATGTCTAACTGCCGAGGTACACACCCCTGTTTGTTCCAGCAAAATTTTAGATTTACGAAGTCTCTGACTTTATTCAATGATGATTCTTCTATTTTCTTGTGCAAACAAGCATTTCTATATCTGAAAGCTGTTACAAAAGCAAAATCAGGTAAAATAGGTAAAAGTGGTCTGCTTAAAGATGCTGTGGCTAACGAGTCTGCCATCTCATTCGGATGAATTCTACATTGGCCAGGTACCCAGAGCAAGTAGATTTTCTCAGGTTTGCTGGTAATAAACTACTAATCATACTCAATGATATCAAATTTTTGCTGCAGATAGTGCAAAGCATACTGAGAGATAATCAGTAAGTATCACTGCTTCTTATTCGCTTGCAGGAATTTTACAAAAATCTAGAATCATAGCAAATAATTCAGCGATAGATATAGGCGTATAATCTGGTAATCAAACTGAAAAAGTTCAGTGGAGAGAAATACAGAAGACGCCTACTCCAGCCTTTTCGTTTAGTACGGGTGCGTCCATCACAATAATGTTCTTTGTGGACAGATGAGTTAAGTAATCTTGTAATTGATTATTTAAAAATTGTAGGGGCACTTCTCTCGCATTAGAGGGAAAGATAGCATCAAATTCTATTTCAAGTTTTGAATTAGGCATCTTCGTCGAGGTAATCTGATAGATATTTACATTCAGAGGTTCTAGCAGTGCTTGGACGAACCTAATATGAGGGAAGTGTAGTCTAGAACATTGTGTTGTGAAGAATGCGCTTGGTTCTTGAATAAAAACATAAGACGCTTGTCTCAGAAGCGATTTGTATATATTTAGGAAAGTTTGAACTGTAAGTATTCTAAATCAAGTTAACAAAGGTGGAAGACGCGCTTACACATACAAAACAATAGTTGCAACATATTTGGGGAGTCAAAGACCCAAGCGCGAAGCTTCTCTTTCTAACAAAAATAACTGCCTCATCTTGCACCGTGCTGCCAAAAAATAATACGCACCCAAATTCTATAATAGGCCCCACATGCATCTTGTAAATTATTATCAATGATCTCCTTCGCAATCCTGTTTTTCTGTTTCCCAATTTTCGTAACCAACCCAAGGCACGTGACGTTTTACAGCCAACCTCGTTTATGTGGCTTTTCCAATTGAGTGTTCTATTATATACGATGCCTAGGTATTTAGGAAAATTGACCTGGGGAATGAGCTCGTTACGAAACCTTAGAAAAACGTTGACACGAACCTTAAAAGAGAGCGGCAGAAGTGCACTTTTTTTACGTTCAATGACATATGGATATTGTCAAGCTATGCTTCTAGCATGCTCATGTAATTCTGAAAAGCCAGGTACAACGAGTGCAGATCACTGTTTGTTGCAAAGAAAGCAATATTATCTGCATATACGTAAATTTGGATATCCTGATGACTTGGAATGGAACTTAGTAATATGTTGAATAACACCGGGGATAACACTGAGCTCTGAGGTACACCTCGTGTGTGCTTATATTTTTTAGAAGAGCATCCATCCAAGAAGCAATAAAATTTTCTGTCTTTCAGAAACTCTGTAATCTATGCTGTTATATATTTTGGAAAGCGATAGTCTTGCATATGCTGAATTAGGATAGGATATTCCACTTTGTCGTACGCTTTAGCTAAGTCTAGAGTGACTAGTGCACAGTATTCGCGGCGATGCCGAGCCAGCTGTATGCGACTTTCCAAATCCACATGTGCACACCAAAAGGAGTATCCCGATCTAAAGCCAATTAGTCTGGGGTTTAGTGTTGTGTGTTCATTGATATAGTTTATTATACGGGCATTTAAGACTCTCTCTACAAGCTTGACCAGGTTAGATGTCAATGAAATAGGCCTTATGTTATCCAGAGTAAACTCCATTCCCTGTTTCTTAAGTATCGGAATTATTTTGAAAAGCTTCCAATCTGCCGGAATCCAAAAATTTTTCAGTGAATAATTAACTATATCACGGATTTCATGTGGGGATATTTCGTATAGCACTTTAATCATTGTAGAGGTCACCCCATCAGGTCCAGGAGCAGCGGGTGGTAAGCTCTTCATCACATCCGCCAGTTCAGCTAAAGATACCTGCTGGAAATCATCATCCACCCTTAACTTCACCATGGGCTTCCGCATAATTGTCATAAACCTGGTTTGCATGCCTTTAGCATTATTTTTTAAGAAATCAGAGAGTTCGTGAAGAGACATAAAGGCGTAGTGAATTCTTTGCGGCTGTGGAATCGTTTTTCTCACACGAAAAAACCTGAAAAGCGCTTTCTTATTTTTAGACTTACACAGATAATAAATTTTTGTCCTCTTTTGTTATGCGCACTGTACACTTAAAATCATCGGCCATGAATTTATAATCACATCAATTTTTATTTATTTATTTTTTTTATTCAAAATACCCCTAAGGGCCCTCTCACAGGAGGGTATTACATAGGGGGGGGGGGGCTATAATACATACAGGTACATGAAATGATTAATAGAACCAGAAAACACGCAAACTAAACACCATACAGCTACTAAATACATTAGAATAAATATAAGGTCAATATTCTTACCACATAATCTTAAATAATCAGAAGAAATAATATGAGTCAAACAATAATAAAACTAAAAAAATATTTTAAAATTGAACTACACAAAAAAGGAAATAGAGTCACAAGAGTATAATAAAACGCAATCTAGCTTACTACAAACACACGCGCCATTAAGCATAAAGGAATGGCAACATCACCAAAAACACGTGTGAATAACTGAATTAGGCAAACACAGCAATAAATAGCACGAACCATGAACATACGCAGTTTCTACAAAAAACACGGTTTGCAGAAAAAAGAAAAAAGAGGGGAAATGCCGCAAAAGGTTCACACGCTTGCACAGTAGGTTCTGAAATTCAGTGATATCGGTGACGGTTGCAATGTTTGAAGGTAAGTCATTCCACTCGGTTATTGTGCGCGGTATGAAGGATCTAGCATAATGAAAAGTGCGACAAGGGAAGCGTTCGATTTTAAAGGGATGATCGCGGCGCGGAAAGATGGCAGGGGGTGGCCTAAAGTCCTCGTGAAGTGATGTGTGATGGTAGAGCTTATGAAGTAGTGATAAGCGAGCTATTTTACGGCGACGTGATAAGAGTTCCAGTTCGGCACGAAGTTTCAATGAAGTGACGCTGGTGTGACGTGAATAATCACAAAAAATAAAACGTACAGCACGGTTCTGCAGGGCTTCGATGTTTTCAATAATGTAGTCTTGATCGGGATCCCAAATGGCTGAGGCATATTCTATTTTAGGACGGATTAGGGTGATATAAGCCAGTTTACGCAAGTGCGAAGGGGTGTGTTTCAAATTACGTTTAAGGAACCCGAGTGAGCGATTTGCTGAAGCAAGGGTGACGTTAATGTGGTGATGCCATGACAGGTCAGACTGAATGTTAACCCCAAGGTATTTATAAGAAGTCGTAAGCTCCACTGAAGTATTATTTAGTAAGTGAGACGTTGGAATGCGAGACGCTTTTTTAGTAAAACACATTAGCTTAGTCTTTGAAAGATTTAGTGCCATTTGCCATGCTGTGCACCACGAAGTTAAAGAGACAAGATCAGATTGTAGAGATTGTCGATCAGTTTCAGATGAAATGGTACGGTAAATGACACAATCGTCAGCGAAAAGCCTAACTTTAGAATTGACTGAGGAGGGTAAGTCGCTAATATTTATACGTGTATGGAACTGTCGCACCGACACAGCTGAATTGGCACCCAAATGAAGAAGACGACAACGTGGTTGTAGTGAGTTGGACTCTGAAGCTTCTCCCGTTGGCCTGCTTGACTGTGCGCTCTCTAAGCCGTTAGCAAGACCAGCTCTCGATGAATAAATCTTTCCCGTAACATCTTTTAGTGGAGGTGCTGGGTCTTCACACAACCCGGCTCTGGAACTCCGCAGTGGACGCCAGCTTTGTCCAGCCGCGATGCCTGAAACTGGCACTCAGGCCTCGCCATCCGCGCCGGCTCCATCACCTGTGATTCCCCCCATCTTCTCGACCCTGGCACGTTTTCCGGGACGGACAGCACGGACGTCAAAGAATGACTCGCATTATTCGAGCGCGTCAGCAAGCACTACAGGTGGGACGAAACGCTTATGCTGGCAAATATTCTATTCTACCTACGTGGTACGGCACGCGCCTGGTATGAGACGCATGAAGAAGAATTAACCAGCTGGGACACATGCAAGCAAAAGCTTCGCGATTTGTTCGGTCGGTCAGTTGCTCGTCAGATGGCAGCGAGGCAGGAACTCGCGTCGCGTGTTCAATCATCGACGGAGTCGTACGTCACGTACATCCAAGACGTACTGGCACTGTGCCGGAAGACGGACAAAAACATGTCCGAGGCGGACAAGATCAGCAACGTGTTGAAAGACATTGCTGATGATGCTTTCAACATACTAATGTGCAAGAACTGCACCACTGTCGACTCCATCGTATCTGAATGCCGGCGATTTGAGCAAGCTAAAAGCAGGTGAATCACCCACCAAATCGCGAGACTACCAAACACTGCTGCGACTTCCTCTTGCGAAGATTCTGAAGCGCCCCGTTCACTTGCTCCTCCTGCCAATATCGCAAGGATTGTTTGCCAGGAGCTGGAAGCCATGGCACCCGCTTCCTATCAGCCCCCTGCACAAGACAACTGGGCAACAGTCTCGCTTATTCAAGCCGTCGTACGTCAGGAGTTTGCTAACCTGGGCGTCCAGGTTCCCCAGCCCGCCAGACTTATGCCGCAGCCCATGAGCACTCCCGTCCACAACGCTGACCACCACTCTGCTCCACTTGTCGCTGCGGCAGCTTCGACTCCTCGGTTTCCACCACGCTACCGAAATCCATCTGAGTGGCGCACGCATGATGATCGACCAATCTGCTTTTCTTGCTCTCGAGTTGGGCACGTCTCCCGCCATTGCCGCAACAGGTCAATTTTCCGGCCAAGCTTTCGTAATGTAGATCGCCGTCAGGACCGCGGACACTATTCGCAACCCGGTTTTCCGGATGACCATATTCTGGACCCTTCAGCTCGCCGTTCATTTCCACGCTCCGAACCGTCCTACGCTGACGTCGTCGCCCAGAGAAACTGGTCCAGCCGCTCGCCGTCACCTCAGGGTCGGCCGTCACGCTCCCCTCAACGCCGCCGCTCTGCGTCACCGGCTTATTCTGCCCATTCCCCGGGAAACTGACGAGTGCAGCTCCCGGAGGTGGCGCTGCGTAGACGACTCGCAACGAAAACCCTCAACCGGCTACAAATTCAAGACGCAATTTACTTCGGGTGTTCGTTGATGGCCACGCCGTTACTGCTCTAATTGACACTGGTGCCCAAGTATCTGTTATGAGTTCTACACTTCGGTCTCGCCTGAAAAAGGTTCTCACACCAGCTATGTTCTCTACTGTTCGAGTTGCCAACGGAAGTCGAACATCGGTGCTTGGTATGTGCACTGCCCGCGTTACTGTTGCTGGCCACCACACTTCCGTTCTCTTCGCAGTCCTCGATGCTTGCCCACACGACGTCATCCTTGGAATTGACTTCTTAACCGCCCACTCCGCCCTCATCGATTGTTCTACCGGTATCTTACGGCTCGAATTGCCTTCGTGCTCCGATTTCACTCCTCCAAGTCGCACTCGGCTACGATCCGTGGAGTCTCTATGGCTACCGCCCCAGGCTGCTATGTACATTCCTCTGTCGCCCTTCCCGTCCGTTCCTGATGGAGACTATCTGGTAGCTCCCCTCATTGATTTGACTCTTACGCACCACATCGCACTACCACATACTATAGTGGTTGTTGCTAACAACACGGTGCTACTTCCAGTTCTGAACTTCTCTACGTCGACCCAAGTGCTTCCCCAAAACATCACTTTAGCCGATCTTTCCACCCTTGATGAATGTCCGATTTGTTCTTTTACACCTACACTAAGACCATGACGAAACCTGTCATCACGTTGCAAATTAAGGCGTTCCTCGACAAAATGATATCCAGTGACCTCTTACCTTCCCAAGTTGCGGCGCTCCGGGGTGTTCTATTTTCTTACCTGGATATCTTTGACGTTGACGACCGTCCCCTGGGCCGCACAAGTGCCGTAACCCACCGCATCGACACCGGCGACGCCAGTCCACTTCACAAACGCCCTTATCGCGTGTCACGTGCTGAGCGCCAAGTAATACAGACGGAGGTCGAGAAAATGCTCAGTAAAGACGTCATTGAGCCGTCATCGAGTCCTTGGGCCTCCCCTGTGGTCTTAGTTAAAAAGAAGGACAACACCTGGCGTTTTTGCGTCGACTATCGCCACCTGAATCGGATCACCAAGAAGGACGTTTATCCTTTACCTCTAATCGATGATGCGCTCGACTGCCTCTACGCCGCCAACTATTTCTCGTCCCTTGACCTTCGATCCGGATACTGGCAAATTTTGGTCGGCGACCGCGACCGCGAGAAGACGGCATTCATCACACCCGACGGCCTTTACCAATTCAAGGTCATGCCTTTTGGTTTGTGCAATGCCCCGGCTACTTTTGAACGTATGATGGACTCTCTTCTTCGCGGTTTCAAATGGTCGACCTGCCTCTGCTATCTGGATGATGTAATAGTTTTCTCGCCCTCCTTCGAAAGCCACCTGTCTCATCTCTCGGCAATTTTTGACGTTTTTCGTTGCGCTGGTCTCCAACTAAATTCGTCGAAATGCTCATTTGGACGTCGGCAGATTAAACTATTCGGCCACCTTGTTGACGCCACTGGTGTTCAACCCGACCCTGACAAAGTCCGTGCAGTCCGAGAATTCCCGGTTCCGCGTTCCACACAAGAAGTTCGCAGTTTTATTGGGCTCTGCTCATACTTCCGCCGCTTTGTCTTCAATTTCGCGGATATTGCTAGGCCCCTCACGGATCTCCTCAAAAAGAATGTGGCATTTTCTTGGGGAAGGGACCAAGAAAATTCCTTCGCGTCGCTAATTACCGCCCTCACATCACCACCTGTGTTGGCTCATTTTGATCCAGCGGCTCGAACAGAGCTTCGCACCGATGCAAGCGGCCATGGCATTGGTGCTATACTTGCTCAGATACAGAATGGCACCAACCGTGTGATAGCCTACGCTAGCCGTCTCTTGTCGCAAGCGGAACAAAATTATTCCATCACTGAGCGGGAATGCTTAGCCCTCGTTTGGGCTATTGCGAAATTCCGTCCGTACTTATACGGACGTCCGTTCGCAGTCATCACGGACCATCATGCGCTTTGCTGGCTGTCGACGCTTAAGGACCCTACAGGAAGACTCGGCCGATGGGCACTTCGATTACAGGAGTACACGTTCTCGGTTGTTTACAAATCTGGAAAGCTGCACAGCGATGCTGACTGCTTATCCCGGCACCCTGTTGATCCACCTAGCTCCACTGATTTGGAATCCGATGCCTGCGTTTTAGCCATCACTGACTTTCTGAACGTGGCTGACGAACAGCGCCAAGATCCATCGCTGCTCACCATCATTGACCGCCTTCAATCGCGTTATGCTGACCCTTCTCTTAGAAGATACCTGCTTCAAGACAACGTTTTGTACCGCCGCAACTTACACCCCGACGGCGCCGAACTTTTACTCGTCGTACCACATCACCTGCGAAAGGATGTTCTGCGACAATTCCACGACGCTCCAACTTCTGGACATCTAGGAGTCTCCAGAACTTACGACCGCATTCGACGACGAGTATTCTGGAAGGGTCTGTACCGCTCTGTTCGCCGTTACGTCACATCTTGTGACCTCTGCCAGCGCCGAAAGAAGCCTACGACTCCCCCTGCCGATCTACTTCAACCTATTGAAGTTCCAGCCGAGCCATTTTATCGAGTGGGGTTGGACTTGCTAGGCCCTTTTCCTACTTCTACAACTGTAAATAAATAGATTGCAGTGGCCACAGACTATGCCACTCGGTATGCAATCACTCGAGAGCTACCAACCAGCTGCGCAACCGACGTTGCCGACTTCCTGCTGTACGACATTATTCTCCAGCACGGCGCTCCGACTCACCTGCTCACAGACCGTGGTCGCTACTTTCTATCTCGTGTGGTTGATGATCTACTCCGATCTTGTGCTACCCGTCACAACTTCACCACATCTTACCACCCTCAGACTAACGGCCTTACGGAGCGACTAAACCGCACATTGACGGACATGCTTTCCGTGTACGTATCTACCGACCACACTGATTGGGACATAGCTCTTCCGTTCGTAACCTTCGCCTATAACTCGTCGCGTCATGAAACAGCGGGCTACTCCCCTTTTTGTCTACTCTACGGACGTCATCCCTTACTGCCCTTCGACACACTGCTTTCATCAGACCACCCATCCTCCACCTCGTACGCTCAGGATGCAATCATCCGTGCCCTCACGGCACGTGCGGTAGCGCGTGCTCGGTTATCGTCGTCGCAGACAGCACAGAAGTCTCTTTATGACCGTCGACATAGAGATGCCGTTTTTTCTGCGGGATCTCTTGTTCTCCTGTGGCTCCCATCTCGACGTGTTGGCCTCTGCGAGAAACTACTATCGCGATACGCTGGGCCCTACCGAGTCATTCGTCAGGTCACACCTGTGACCTACGAGATTGCCGCTACCACAAACTCATCAGCTGCTGCTCCCAGAACGGAAGTGGTCCACGTTTCTCGTCTCAAGCCCTACAACGCCGACTCGCTCATTTAACAGGCACCGAGACGGTGCCTTACGGGCCGGGGTGATGATACGTGTATGGAACTGTCGAACCGACACAGCTGAATTGGCACCCAAATGAAGAAGACGACAACGTGGTTGTAGTGGGTTGGACTCTGAAGCTTCTCCCGTTGGCCTGCTTGACTGTGAGCTCTCTAAGCCGTTAGCAAGACCAGCTCTCGGTGAATAAATCTTTCCCGTAACAATATAAATAAGGAAAAGCAAGGGACCAATCACACTTCCTTGGGGAACTCCAGATGAGACTTCAACAAAAGGAGAGTTAAAGTTATTGACAGACGTGAATTGTTTTCTACTGGAAAGAAAAGCTTGTAGCCAGGCGAGAACAAGTGGGTGAATATTAAGCTGCCTAAGTTTTAGTAAGAGCCGATGGTGAGGGACACGATCAAATGCTTTTGAAAAATCAAGGAATATAGCGTCAGTTTGAATGCCGGCGTCCAATGATGAGTGCAAGTCATGGGTAAATCCCGCGAGTTGAGTTTCGCATGAATAGCCCTTGCGAAAACCATGCTGGTATTTAAACATGATATTGTGTTCCTCTAAATAGGAGATTACCTGGGAGTGTATAATGTGTTCCAAAAGTTTACATATGGTACTAGTTAAAGATATGGGTCTGTAATTAAGCGGGGATGAGCGATCACCAGATTTAAATAGTGTCACTACTTTTGCTATTCGCCAGTCGTGAGGAATGGTGCCTGATGATAACGATAGAGAAAAGATTGCTGCCAAAAAGCGATAGATACCTGAGAAAATATTTTTCAGTATTTTGTTATTGAAGCCATTATGATCGGATGCAGACGAAGTTTTCAACTTTTCGAGTAAAGATATGATACCAGCTTCGTCAATTATTATTTCAGACATATTAATACCGGCAACTACATCTATGTTAGGGCATGAAGTAGTATCCTCAAGAGTATCCTCAATTTTCGGGGTATTGGTGAATTTACAGCTTTTTCCAAGCCACTTTTCGCTTTTTTATACCCCCTGACACATTCTTTATTTCACGACGGGCTAGAATATCCCGCTGTGATCGGGTTTATAGTAAACGTTGAATTTTTAATGATCATGTCAATACCGCGCTCAGACTCATAGCCCTAAGGTCTTCCTGCATTTCCTCAAAAAAATTAACGTGAATTTCAAGTCATTTCGTAATTTAGCATAATTTACAAATGAGCCTTCTTTCCCAGCCAAACTAAACCTCGAGAACTTAATTTCAAAACTTTAACGGGAAGGTGGTCACTGTTTGTAGCACAGTCCAAGATGTTCCACGAGGATATGCTTAAAGTGGAGCTGGGAAATGTTAAACCCATAGTCGATTTCGAGTTACCTCTAACAAATGTAGCAGTGTGCGAGTTCAAGCAGGAAAAGTTCTTATAAAGCATCCATTCCTTCAAACGTCTTCCACATACATCAGATCCGAAGCCCCAAGACACATGGTGTGAATTGATATGCACCTCACAAAAATATTGCGTTGCGGAAAGTACTCTCCCTTCTGCAAAAGATAGCTTGCGAGACCTGATTAAACAGGAGATCGCGTCCGCATTGTGTCCGACGTGTTCCAACGATACCTGCGTGTGCCAGACGATCACGTACGCTGAAGTTGCCGCGCTCTCTGCCGCACCCACTGTTTTTGTGCCTACACCAGCAGACCATACGCCTGTGGCTTCGTTGTCACCACCAGTGCGTGTACCGCCTTACTACTCACCTCAGCGCCCTCCTCGGCCAATCTGTTACTACTGCAGCTATCTAGGACATATCGCTGGTTTTTTCGAAGGCATTAACAAGACGAACAACGCGGCTACGCTCCTGAAGAACATCGAAGTTTCCGTCCAACCATGAACTACCTATGACCACCCTCCCGATCGTCCTATTACCGTTCACCTACCATACTCACATTCCTGGGAGTTCCCGTACGTCTCGCTGCAGGTCGCCTACGCCAGGTCGCCGTTCAGTGTCGCCTCTGCGGCCCGCCTCCCATTCCACGAACGCCCACGTGGAAAACTCCCCAATGCAGTTGTAGGAGGGGAAAATGCATCCACCGGACAGCTACCAATTCCTTCAGAGCGGCCATCGAATTTGATAGTAGTGTTTGTAGAAGGTGTACGCGTTAAGGTTCTTGTAGACACTGGCACTGCCGTTTCGGTTATTCGTGCTGATTTTTGTTCCCGCCTTCGAAAAGTCACCACGCCTTGTGGCGGCCCAACTCTCTGTGCGGCGACCAATGCTCTCATTCGTCCACTTGTACAGTGTACCGTTCGTGTCTGCATCGAAGGCATTCGTTATCACATCGTTTTCGCGATATTTCGTGAGTGCACCCACGCTCTCATTCTGGGATGGGATTTCTTGTCTTCTGCGTCCGCTTTCATATCTTGTCATCAACGCCTCCTGCATCTAAATGTCACTGACTCTTCGCCGCTTGAACACGATGGACGCATCGACCTTGTCACCACGTGAGATTATGTACTTCAGCCATACATCGAAGACGTTATAAGTGTTAATGGCACCGACATTTTGGATGGTGACGTACTAATTCTCCCTAACGGCCATACCCTACGTAGGGGCATGGCGATCACACCAGGGCTTATTCGTTTATTCGATGGACCTAACCGCCTTAAATCAAACGCCCGAGTGTGTCCTGCTCGCCTGTGGCTCAACAGTATCTTGCGCGTCGACAGTTAGCCTGTTGCGATTGTTGCTCTTCCGAACAACAACCACAACGACGTCCCAAAGTCACAATCACTGCCATTCAATGCCTCTTCCACACCTGTGGCGGCAACCATAAGCACTGACTTAATACCTGCTCAAACTAAAGATTTGCTCGCCCTGTTGAATAGACACCGTTCTCTATTTGATGTGAACTCACCCGTTCTCAGCATGACTACCACCGCTACTCACAGCATCCAGATTGACGGCTCCCGTATTGTACGTCGGCGTCCATATCGCGTGTATCAGGCGGAATGCAAGATCATCGAGGAAAACATCTAATACATGCTACGACGCTACATCATACGTCCTTCCTCGAATCCCTGGTCATCCCCAGTTGTTCTCGTTCAAAAGAAAGATGAGACAGTGCGTTTCTGCGTCGATTACCGTGTGCTAAACAAAATAACGTGCAAGAATATTTATGCTCTCTCTCGAATTGACAACGCACTGGCTTTATTACAGGGCGCCGAGAATTTTTCTAGCCTCGACCTTAGGTCAGGCTACTAGCAAATACCAGTTTCGGTGTCTGATAAAGAGAAGACCGCCTGTTTGACGCCAGATGGGTTGTACGAGTTTAATGAACTCTGCAATGCGCCCGAAACCTTCGAACGCATGATAGACGGCGTATTGGGTGGTTTGAAATGGAAACCATGTCTGTGCTATCTCGATGACGTAGTGTTTTCATTCACGTTCTCGCAGAATCTACAACGTCTTGACGAAGTCCTCACGTGCCTTGCCAAAGTTGGTCTACAGCTTAACACCAAGACATGTACCTTTGCTAGCAAGACAATCAAGGTTCTCGGCCACCTCGTTAGCAAAGAAGGAATTCGGCCGGGCCCTGAGAAGGTTCCCGCCGTCCTCGATTTTCCTCATCCACTACGTCAAAAGGACCTGCGCAGCTTTCTTGGGTTATCTTCTTACTTCCGGAACTTCATACGGGGCTTCGCGGAACTTGCGTCTCCGCTCCATTAACTCCTCGCAAGGAACGTCCCCTTCATTTGGTCCGAAGGCTGCGAAAGCGCTTTCACGGCATTGAAGCAAGCTCTCACGTCGGATCCGGTACTGTGCCACTTCGATTCAACCACCCCCACCATCCTTCACACCGACACATGTAGTCATGGTCTAGGAGCGGTACTCTTGCAGCGTGACAAAAACTCACGCGAACGCGCCGTTGCTTACGCAAGTCCTGTTCTTACCGCTGCAAAAAAGAACTATACACTATCACCATGCAGGAGTGCCTTGCTGTTGTTTGGGCAGTGCAAAGATTCCGACCATATCTTCACGGCTGTCACTTTACCGTCGTTACAGACCATAACACCCTATGCTGGTTTTTATCGCTGAAAAACTTATCAGAGGGCCTCGTTCACTGGGTGCTTCGCTTGCACGAGTACAATTTCGATGTCGCCTACAGATCTGGGAAGAAGCATCAATATACTGATGCTCTATCGCACTGGCCTTTGCCCAGCGGAGGCCACTCACCATCGATACTCCAAAACGACAGCACCACCTCTTCAATCGCAGCGCTAAGTTCATAACCTAGCACCCTATCCGTCCTTGTTTCACAACAACGTGTCGACGCATACTGCCGCACCATTGTTGATCGCTTGACCGGCTCTACTACTCCTCCAAACGCCAGATTCTGTCGACAACTTAAACAATTTAAGCTGGTCAGTGGTGCTCTATACCGCTACATTTACCACATCAATGGCAACAAGGGGGTACCTATCATCCCACGTTCTCTGTAACGTGAAGTTCTGAAAGCCTTTCATGATGATTCAACCACCGCTCATCTCGGCTATCGCAAGACTTACGACAAAATACAAAGTCGTTGTTTTTGGCCTGGTCTCCCTTCAGCCCTCGCTAAGTACGTCGCTTTTTGTGTCCATTGTCAACGGCCAAAACGACCATCAACTGCTCCGACTGGCTTAATGCAACATCTTCCTTGTCCCGTCTCACCTTTTGAAGTCGTTGGAATCGACTTGTATGGCCCTCTTCCTATATCATCCAATGGGAATCACTGGATTGTCACGGCCGTCGACCACCTTTCTCGCTATACAGCTTCTATGCCAGCTGGGACTGCCATTGAGGTCGCCGATTTTTTTTCTTCGCCACAAATTTTTGTGCCATGGAGCCCCACGCATTCTCCTGAGCGATCATGGCAAAGTCTTTCTCTCATCTATTGTAGAGCAAGTTTTGCGTGCCTCGAACACTGTTCGCAAGACCACTTATAGCTACCACCCACAGACCAACGGATTGACTGAACGCTTTCATCGGACCCTATCGGACATGATCGCCATGTACATTCACCCCAACCACACGAACTTGGATGCAATTCTACCCTTCGTGACAGTCGCTTATAATACGGCTGCTCGAAGTATTACTGCCTTTTCTTCATTTTTTCTGGTCTATGGTCACTCGCCTAGTTTAGCTCTGGATGTCTCTTTCCTTTCAGCCCCTGCACCCTCCACGGCTCCTTTCTTTGAAGAATTTTTATGTCGTCTTGCACACTGCCGTCACCTGACCCACGTTAACACCAGCCTCTCTCAAGACACTCGAAAATCTCGCTACGACTCGTCTCACCGTGTTGTGAAATTTTCCCCTTGTGATGAAGTGCCTCTATGGACTCCACTGCGCGTCTCCAGCTTATGCGACAAATTCATCATTCGCTTCATTGGGCCATACAGGGTGGTCGGTCAGACATCTCCTGTCAATTCCCGTGTTTCTCCTCTTAGCATTCATCTAGATTATCGTTGCCGAGGAACAGAGATAGGGCACGTATCTCGTTTAAAGCCTTAAACACGACACATTTCATAATACCCTCAGGCGACCAGGCGGCCACTTTCACCGCATGTGGAAATTACTGTGAGCGCGACAAGCGAATGACTCCTCTTTCTCTTTAGATATCATCATCACCTATACATCTTCATCATCTGTAAATAATGTTACGAGTAACTTGTTTATTGATCTATTTACAGCGCACAGAACTCGACAAGCAAGATGGCGCCAGACCAGCATCAAACGAAAACTCACTTCGTCCTCCTCTTTCATGCAGCCGTGTTTAGCGGCTGTTATGTATCATAACCCCCGGCGGTAGAAACATCGTCCCGGTGCTAAATTTACGTAGATGATGTCGAAGGGGGGTAATAGGGCTTTAGCCGAGCCACGTGAACGGTGTCGC